CCTCCTCCTCCTCCTCCTTCCATCAATTCCCAGCACTTTTGTCCTCTTGGATGCTAAAATCCGATCGTTAGCTAGCCTTTAGTTAACTAGTCAGTTATTGTGTCTGAGCCTGAGGAAATAAATAAATGAATAATAATAATAATAATAATAATAATAATAATAACAACAACAAACAAACAAACACAGAGTTGCACTTGACATGTAGGTGTTATCCTACATGTCATTATCATCTATTATTATGATCATCTATTATTATTATTATTATTATTATTATTATTATTATTATTATTATTATTATTATTATTATTATTTAGAGAGATCTTTTAGCACCTTTGAGACTAACTAAAGAAAGAAGTTGGCAACATGAGCTTTCCTAGGCTTAAGTCTACTTCCTCAGATGCATTTGGATTATTACTGTTGTTGTTATTGTTGTTATTAAAGGCACACAACACAAACACACATGCACCTGAGATGTAGATGGTATTGATGGTGGTGGTGCTATTATTATTATTATTATTATTATTATTATTATTATTATTATTATTATTATTATTTAGAGAGATCTTGCAGCACCTTTGAGACTAGCTAAAAAAAGAAATTGGCAGCGTGAGCTTTCATAGACTTTAGTCTCCTTGCTCAGATGCATTTGGATTATTATTATTATTATTATTATTATTATTATTATTATTATTATTTATTGAAGGCACACAACACACACACATGTACTTGAGATACAGGTGGTGATGATGATGATGATATCATGATTATTATCATCATCAATTCCACTTACATGTCAGGTGGTTGTGGTTGTGTGTTGTGTGTCTTCATGTCGTTTCTGACTTATGGCAACCCTAAGTTTGCCATAAGTCCCTTTCCTGTTTGTTTTCAGTGTCCAAATTGAATTCATTTTTATCCCCCATAAAAATGTTTTCCAAGTTTTTTTGGGGGGGGGTCTCTCTTTTGCTGGGAGTCAGGAGCCCTTGTACATGTAGAGTAGACCCAAAGGATTTTCTTTCATTGCCCTCTGGAAAGTTCTTGACTAGTCACTGCAAATATGGGAGGAAAAGGGGGATGAGAGATTAGCCACCTTCCTTTTCTACAGCAAAGAAACCTGTGGCACCTTAAAAGCTGACACAGTTTAGAGTGCACAAGTGTGTTTCCAGTCTAAAAGTGAGACTAAATACAAAGGCAGCCTCAAACAACTAGACAAAACTTTCTGGGAAATTCCAAATCATGTTGAATAAAGTCACTGCAGGTGGCAAACACTTTGAGTTCTCCTTCCTTGGATGTTTTTTTTTTTTTTGAAAGAATAGGATTATTTAAATCCTATTGTCAAGGATGTTGCATCTGCACATTCCTGCATCCACACTGGGTTGGACTGCATGACCTCTAGGGTACCTTCAAACTAGATGATGTACTCTGAACTCTGTTTTAGGGTTTTCTTGGCAAGGTTTGTTCAGAGAAGGTTTGCCATTGTCTTCTTCTGAGGCTGAGAGGGTGGGACTTGTCCAGGGTCACCCAATGGTTTCCCATAGCTGCGTAGGGATTTGAACCCTGGTCTCTCAGAAGATTCCCAGCCCAGCACACAAACCACTGCTGACTCAAGAGTGGGTTGCTGCTATGATTTATAGACTTCAGAGCTTGGCCGTTGAAGGAGATGACAGTGGTTAGCTAATGGTTTTTCTTGGCATAGTGGTGATTTGAACCCAGGTCTTCCAACATCCTAGTCCAACCACACTACACTGGCTCTCTTAAGATGTGACTGCAACACCTAAAAAATAAACTCACTTCCAAAGCACACTACAGAAATAATCGAGTTTAAAACCACTTTATGCTAGGCTCAATGCTAGGGAATTCTGGGGTTTGTAGTTTTGTGAGACATTTAGCCTTCTTTGTCAGAGATGCTCTGGTGCCAAAATAAATTACAGTCCCCAGGATTCCCTTGCATTGACCAGAGCAGTTAAAGTTGTCTCAAACTGGGTTATTTCTGCAGTGTGTTTTGGACCTCAGTTTCTAGCCTGAATCCTGTAGACCCATTGAACCAGTTGTCAAGCAGCCAGTCAACACTATTTGG